CTAATATCGTTTTTCTAAGTAACGCGGTAGAGTGAGGCACCGTCAGCAAACAATTTCATTGTTGCAGTAAAATTATCAACGAGACCATCAATGAAAATCAAAATCAGTAACAGTCCGAAGATGAAGCTCTGGGACACTTGTCTATCAACGGTCCTTGCTGACGATGTACTACCGTATACCGTACTCACACTTTCTCTATTTGAGAAACATGCACTCGATATGACGTAGGATTGTCGAAAGTCGCAAAATTCTCAACTTGCTGTACAATTTTCGATTTGTACTAGAACTGTCAAAATTCTCAACTTGCACGACAAGTTTCGATTTGCACTAGAATTCTTAAAGTTCGGAACTTGCGGCACAATTCTCGATTTGATGTGGCGCTGATGGGAAAAAAAGTGAATGTGCGGCAAATGCATATTCTGCTTAATGTTACAATTTCTGTTGTGCGTAGTTAAATAGCGGTCTTGTCAGCTATTCGATAGCAGGTCGAAAAACGTCTCTTTACACTGTAGTATAGATGGGCTGCTATTCGAAGTGCTTAGTAATAGCTGACGTCTTAATAATTTTTCTCGATTAATTGTTTTCGAAGCACTGAAATTATCAGACAAACTGTCGTACAACCTACACAATATTAAATTTCATTTCAAGCTTTTGATTGTTCAGAAAACCTCTTTAATTGTTGAAATTGGGTTTGTAATAGTTATGATACTCCTTGGTTCAATTCTAGTTCTAAACAGAATAATCGACGAGAAGTGGAAGTTCGTTGTATGAAATGATGCATAACATGATTTTTCAATGTGTCACGAAATAATGTTGATGACAATATATGAACATAGAAGTAATTTGAATGATCTCTAAATTCAATCCAATATGCTTCTTGCTAACTAGATAAGTGGCTGGAATGCTGGTTCCGTATGCATTACTAAAAATGCGTATTATGCATAGTTTTATTTTCTTATTTTCTCTTCACATTACAGTCTTCGAAAAGTGGAGAGGAGAAGAGCATGAAAATATTGTTAGTTCTTAAAAGTTATTTCCGAGCTTGCTAAAGCATATCGACCGTTTATAGACCATAAAAATAACTCAATGACTATTTATGGCGGCGACCATGGGCGTAGCGGTTGACCTGTTTATTAACAAAGCTTGTAGTAAGAAGATATTTTCAAGGATATCTGAAAAGAGTAAATTTTCCTCATATACACAGAAAAAGTTTGTATGAAGAGCAGGTAAAACTGAAGTCCATTGATGAAGAACGAGCGGTTGTTATTAACCCTTTCCGGCCCACCACTCTGCCACTGAATGAAATTCCTTTGCGATACTATATTTAAAACACTTATTACGTAGCATTATTATTTCAGTCGAAACTGTTTCAAAATCTTCAAGAGCAGATTAATTTCAAACATTTATTTACAGTTAAATTTACAGAGATATACAAGAAAAAATTTTCATTTATTTACAGAATATTTTTGTGGTAGTTATAAAAACAATTTCTCGTAGAATTCATACAAAAAGCTCGTTTACAATGAGAATAATGATAAATAGTTTTATGTGTCTCTTTATTTGTGCTGCAGAAAGCACATCTTGCTTGATTCCCAACAACTGAAAGATGTGGATCGTCTTATCTGGTATGTCAAATGATATTTTTCTTCCTGATGATCTATTTCGTTTTCTTTCTGAATTCGTCGAAGGCGACATCCGTTTTTTGTTTCTCTCCTTCGATCAGTGCAATCGTAACCGATGACAAAAAATCAAGATATGTAAGATCAGAGTCAGTTTGCATCTTGAGTATCACGAATGCATTAGAAAGTGCGACATTTAAGAAATTGAAGAAAATCCTAAGCCATGATCTTCTTGACTTTCGATCCAATGAATAGTTCTCTTTTCGTTGATCAGCTCTATCTACACCTCCCATGTGTTTATTGTAATCAATGATAGACGTTGGACATTTTACACCTGCTTTGTCACCATTTTCTTCCGAAGATGAAGCTCTGGGACACTTGTCTATCAACGGTCCTTGCTGACGATGTACTACCGTATACCGTAGTCACACTTTCTCTATCTGAGAAACATGCACTCGTGCAGGTTGCAATCCAGTTCCTGATTTTCACTGGAATTCTCGAAGTTCTCAGCTATGAACACATTTCTCGATTTGCACTAGATTTTGCAAAATTCTCGAGTTGCAAGACAATTCCGGTTGGCAGTAGAATTCTGAGTATTCTGATAATTTTGAAAAATCTCAGCTTGGAACACAGTTCTCGATATGCGAAATATATATTCTTAAAATCTCGTAGGAAAAGTTTATTAAAATTTTAATCATTGATAAATTAAGCAACTATATGCACTATAAACAGAAGTCACTGTCGTTGAGAGAGGCAAGATGAAAAAAATGATTGCAGATTATCTTTTACGCTTTTTGGTCATATATTCACGAACGTTGGGATAAATAAATCGCTCAATCCTGGCTGCGCTGACTGTCGGATTTTGAAGATACTTCCGAATTTGTGTCGAACTTATATCCGAAAGGTTGCACGTTCCTCTGTTAGTGGAATATAGATGACACCAGACGATTTGACTGAACGCTGAATACGCTGTTCCTCATAACCGACACGATATACCACAGCACACGCCATGTTTCTTTGTTTCGTTATGTTTTCAACTTCAGGACATTTATTAAAATGATCTAAACCGCAGACATAGACCACGCGCAATGGATACTTGAGCAAATTTTCCTCATCGACAAGTGTACCATTGAGAAAATCACGAAGGCTTTCACTGACAGGACCAAAATCAATAAATCCATCGCACCATTCACTTTCACCCCGCGAAATGGTAACCCAAGATGATATTTCTGGTCCTGCATGATATTCGATAGCTTCTTCACACAGTTGACATCTATCTTTGGCCGGAATCCATGCTGAATCGCCCAATTTGGAATGTACATATGAATCACTTTGACAAATATTTATGTATGAATATTAAAAGAAAACAGATTGAGAACTACATACTTTGTTGGCGAGAGATACCCTGCAAGCACGTTCCATGGTGGCTCACGTTCGCGCTCAAGGTATTGTTTGGCACGCATAAGGTTTTGAAAGTGTGAAGGATGTACAGGATTGAAAGAACCAGTTGTGATCAAAAGACAACTACAAATAAATTTAACTTAACAATAGGTTTGGACCATTCTCTCTGCACGCGCAGCAATTTTTCAGATCTTCAGATCGTATTTCCTAATCGTCAATAACACTTTCCATTCCATGTAACGCACAGACGATATTTTCAATATGATTGTAGTCCTACTTATACAAGCTATTCGCTTTGATAATCTCATCACAGGAGTTTTATCGACAGCCCACCACGCTTTCAATAGGTAATCGATCGTTCTTTATTCTATGATGTTAGTTTTCGGATAACAAATTCTACGCTTCTATCTCATGCAGCTCCGATTCGTCCCTGGGTGAAACGTTCAGAAAATCATTAACATTTATGCATTCATTAGATATATGCACTGGACAGTTTTGTTTGTATGATGTTACTCGTCATTCGATGACTATTCGAACCTCTGTACATGGTCAAAGAAAATGCTCTTTCTTGGTGAGGAAACAAAACCTAGAAAAAAGGATCCGTAACTTTTTTCATGCCATTATGCCGAATGTAACCATGCAAAAATATTAGCTTAAACTATTTGTTTTAGATGCAACTTTTTGGAAGGCCGGAATACAGATACTCTCATTCGGCTCGATGAGATCTAACGGTCCACGTAAATACAGGTTTTGTAAAGATTGGACAAACCTGCGTTAGAAAATGTTTGATATAAATGTTATATCTGTCGGTGAGCGCGCAGCGCAACATTTTGTTTTCATTATCATGAAGCAGCTGGACTTGTACCGTGAGTATCGAAGTATCTGGTCGTCGTCTCACGAGTGGAAATGGACAAATGCGTTTCTGTTTCTCAACGCATAGACGACGTCCACTCTTTCCCTCTCTCCGCACATATGTGCACGCCGTTGCACAAGTGTTCACTACATAGAGGTTGTCTTTTATATTGGGATCAAAAAAGTATTCATTGTACAGAGTTGCAAGGTGCTCACTGAGGAAAGTTTTACTGTATATCCAGTAAAATACAAAAGAGATATCCTCGAAAGATCCGCCAGGATCCTGAATCAAAAGGATTATGTCATGTTTTGATCAGGATCCTGTTTCGAATCCTGGCCATTTCTGTTATCAAGATCTTTTCTGGATTTTTTCAGAATTCTGTTCAGGATTTTTTCACGAACGAGAATTTAGGATCATATCAAGGTTTAAGCAGATTTTTCAGCAGGATCTGTTCTCAAATTAGAGTGCAGGATCCTGTCACGATTTTAGGAGATGCTTGCTCAGGTCAGGGCCTGTTCTTGGTTTTTTTACTGCAAGATTTTGGCACGATTTTAGCATTTTCTTGAGCAGGATTTGTTCTGAATTTAAGACATTTTCAGTGTGTTTACGGTCTCTGTTGAAATCGAATCCGATTAAAAATGATTCTTTCTCGAGCAGCGAAGGAATTTGAATTTCTATACTGGAAGGAATTAGACACCGCACAGCGATAGGAGAATAAATCATTTGTTGAAAATATCGTTTTTGAAATTCGGTGGGTGTTCAATGAAGCAGTCATAATTCAATCATGTGTTTATATTTTTTACTGAAGAAAGCTGAGACAACGACCGACGAAATGACAGGTTGCGCTAAAGTGGAAGTAATCTATGAGCTGAGATATAACGATTCCAGGGAAGAAGTGATTTTCTGGTCAAAAGTTAGCTGCGCTCGAATCAGCTGGGGCCGAGCTGATGCTTGCTATTACATCTTTCGAGCTCCATCTATGGTGAAAATTTGATTGAAAATGTTTCAACTTTAGACATTGTGTTGATTGTAAAGAACTTCTTTTCACGATTGTAGTGAACTTTCCAACTGTACTCTGATTTGTTTATCTTAAGCACAAGTCTCCTTTCCACAATGGTACTTACTTGCGACTACTATTAACCAACTTGTAATTTGTACAGTTCTCCATCAGAATTTCAATATTTGTATTCTTCGGGTTGTACATACACACCTGACTCTGTGCGTGAATGTACTTGTTAGAGTACTTGCCACAACTTGCACCTTGACTTCCTTCGATAGTGTCGGAGGTTACTTCACAGAAAGTTGGCCCATTTCCTACAACCATCGAAGAACACAAAGTAAAAAACAAAAGATTTACAGCGCCGGCAAATCGAAAATTAACGAAGATTTTGTTTCATTTTTCACACATGTTTGCACACAGCATAGGAAGTAGATTAGGATTATAACAAGTTTAGATTTGAAAACCTGGGTTGTATTGTTTTGACAGAAACTACTAATCTTTCGGTAGCAGCCATTGTTTTTACTCATTGCTATATTAAAGAATAAAAAAGTTTGAATTTTTTGAATCTTATATCTCAAAATTCTTCAGAAGCAACAAAGATAGTAATTATGAAGTACTGTTAACTAAAACATTAAAGGATTTCGTGTCTTTTTGATGTTGAATTGTACATTGTTTAAGTCTAGACTCTTTCAATGGTAGCAAAGATCGAAACGCTCGTCATGCTAGCTTTCCATTTTTTCTTGGAAATTCGCTGAGCTCCATGAGTGTCCTCAGTTCACTATGGTACCTGAGCTTCATGAGTGCCGTCAACTTATTATGATGCATGGGGTCCTTGAATTTCCCATTTCTGGATGATGGGTATATCTCGGCTCTTGGTCAAAGTCCACGATAGTTTGTAAGTCACTGGCCTCAGTTGTTACTGTAACAAATTGTTGATCTCTTGAATTCAATTCCGATTTGATGATTTGGTCTGCCTCTCTTTTATCACTAGTGAATATCATGCATTCATTTCTGAAGCCCATTCGTCGTAATGCTTTAATCAATCGTGCACCAGCGTTATGACTCGGCTGTTCATATTCACGGTTCATATCAGTAACAATACGAAATTTATCTTTATTTTTCAAACGTTGCCCGAACGGTGATCGAAGGAATGACAGTGCACTGTCGGTGGACGACTTTGGAATGAAATGGACATTCATATTGAGTGCTTTAGCTGATGCGTATTCCATGTGCCTTTTATTCTCCCAGTGTTCATTGAATATGCGATCGTCAACCCACAATACTGACCATACGGACAGACCCAATTCAACTTGTCGCATATAAATCGTGTGCTGACTGCCATGGTGGGAAGCCACATGTTTGAAGACAAGAAATGTAGAGTGTGGTAAAAATAAAACTTCATCTTCATCTGGATAATTGGAAAATTGTTTGATAGAACGACCGGTTAATGAATAAATTTTAAATAATGTATTTCGAGCGTTGAATGCTGCTCCTTAAACCTGTTCTTTACCCTTTTTTGAACTGCTGAATTGGATCCATGTGATCAACGCGCCAGCTGAGTAAAGCTTCAGTTCACCGTCTTTAAGGTCACAACATCGCGTAACGTAACCCCAGTAATAAGGTATGTATGAAAGGGCTTTAACTAAATAATAGAGAATAATAGCCGCTTTGTGAAGTCTTCTATTACTTTTACTTCGACAGCCACCCCATTGCTACGGCGAGCAACAAGGCTGGCGCCTCTGTTGCATGCTTCACTTTTCGTGCCGGTGTAGAATGAGATGGCGAATGCTGATGCTTGAGATTCATCTTTCGATAAACCTTTTGTTAAAAAAAAGGGCTTGTCTTTGCTACGCGTGCATCATGCTCTGCCATTACGTTGTCGACATTCACCTTCGGCTTTTCTTCATAGTTGCGACAAATTTTTCTCCGTTTTTTGAATGATGCGCTTTCTTCTACGAGGTCGAAAAGAGCCGGGTTAAAATTATCCTCGTAGACTAAATGCTCCGTGCGTGCATCGTTGAGATCATCAGTATTGTGCTTTAATGTCATATGTTCCAGTATGAATTCAACTTCTTCACATTCCATGACTGAAATACTAGCGGCTGCTTCTTTTTCTCTCCAGTTTTTGGTTCGTTCTCGAGAAATGACCATAGCTTGCAGCATTTCCAAATGTTCTTTGTCTTTCACACAACCCACCAATATCATATAACAATCGTGTGCCAAACGATGACCAAATTCAGCTGTTACTGGATTAAATAATGTTAAGTCTTGAATAATTTCTACAACTGATCGCGACATTCTAATGTACTTCCTATAAAACAATAAACATTCATCGATGATTGACTCAAGGTCTCCACACGATACCTTCGAATAGTACTAATTTATTCTTACCCTCACTCACATTATATCGAATTGAACCGTTCTCTTATCTCCATGTTCCTCTAGCATGTAAGCCACGGAGGGCGTTACTCGATCGAGGTTCACATCTGGCTCATATTGTACAATAGAAGGGAGTCTCTTAGATTAGTATAACCCGAGAGTTTCAGCCGAAACGAATGCAGCGTTCAAAAGATATTGTCTCCACTAAGATGGATAGTCGTGTCTTTTTTTTCACTTTTTTGAGAGTGGTATCCCACAGTGTAATTATATTTTCTCATCATCCACAAGAGATCTAGCAGAGATTTTTTTTACAATATATATTATCGGGCGTGGCCTATTTAACCATAATATCGCACAGCTGCTATCATGAGGTAAGCCAATACAGTATGCAGACAAAGCCGAAAAAGCACTGTCCACTTGAAAAATGAAAAATTTTCGGTCAACTAGGTCGATTTTCTTGAAAGCGGCCTCATTTCCAAGAGCACAACAAAATCCATTAAAAACGCTTTCTTCTATTCTAAAAAAAGTGGTATCTCAAATTTCGCTACAAAGTATTTTCAATAAGAATTGTGCAGCGTAGGCTTGTGAGAACCTCAGGCCTTAAAAATCGAATGAGATTTCCCAATTTGGTAAACTTTTTATGTCATGAATGAGTCCAGTACTTTCTGCAATTTTCAACTTGATCACACAAGTCCGTGAAGCACGGTACTAAGAAAATTGACGAATTTCTGTGACTGCAAAGGAGACGGGCTGATAAGATAGTTTTGCGACCACCAAAATATTTCGGATTTCTGTGGTAGAGTCATATCAGGTATGCATCCTGATACTACAACGGTCAGTTTCGTGATATCTCTCAGTCGATTTTTTGACGCCTCACTCCTTCCGGCAGCCTAATCCAAAATCTTTATTTTATCCATACGCATGAACACGATAGAATCAAGTACGCTGGTCTCGAATATCACAATGCGAATGCTTGAAAAGTTTAGCTAATGCTACTTGGTTCAACCCCGAAACCACGATTTTGGCCCGCTACCAGGACCATTTCATGGCCAATCATTGATACACATTTATTAAAGAACAAAATAGGCGCAATAATGAATTTAAGCACTTACAAAAAACTGGAATGAATGAACATGCGTTGATTTTTAACGCATTCCCATGCATTAAATGACGATGACGGCAAACAGTTGTTTACATGCCTTCGTATCGTTAACTTGCCCAAACGCGTTCAAAATTATTATTCTGCTAACGCCTTCTACTTGATGTATGAATTCAAGTCAGTTAAGAAATGGGAAGGCGTTCGAACGCCTTATTTTCTAACGCCTGAGAAGCCTTAGAGCCAGAAAAGTTTTCTAAAGACGCTACAATCCATTCAAATTTTACATACATTATGGACGTTTATAAAAATAAGGCATTCGAATGTCTTCGGTTCACACGGATAACTACACAGAAAGCGTTAAAAATCTCAAGTCGTGCAAAGCCTTAAAATGTGTCAAAAGAAGGTTTTTAACGCCTTAAAGGCGGAAAAAAAAATTTTAATGCCTGCGAAGGACCTGCGAGGGTCCAAAATTTCTTCCTGGGTATACCGCTGTAGATATCGCTAATTATCGTATAAAAAAGCAAGTTTTTTACAATCAGAAGACAAACGGGGATATTGTTCGAAATATCGTTCAGCAGAAATATAACTGTTTACAAGTATTTCTTTCTAGTAACTGGCTGGACGTCTTTGGAGTTACGTAGCTGAACTATTGCGTGGATTACGAATGTTTCGTTATACAATGATGAATATAACGATAATGGATGAACAGCTGTTGTTCCTCATTTGACACTCTTATTTAGTGATTATCAATAGCGCGGTTTCAAGAAGATACTGACTATGGATAATAGCAGATTTTTAACCATTTTTAGTTCTCTTTTACATACATTATCTCTCACTACCATGCTTCGAGGCGAAAGCCGGAAAGTTATGGTAGTTCAGACAGCTCTCTGAAAACTCATTTGACTGTTATATTGGAGTAGATACCTAGTTTTTCACACGTTCAGCTGTGATATTCACAGCCTTATAACTCAAAAACTAAACGGTACCTTTTTCTAAAAATTAGCATGGTATGAAGTACAACTTGTGTACTACAAACTGGCAGAAAAATTGGAGAAGGATACTTTCAAATTTGTTAACTTTTTAATCTGGGAAGTTGCTGTAATAAACCCCAATTTCATAGCGAAGGGAATGTTTCCTTTGGATAAAACGATAAAATTTCCTCTTTAATTCATTTCTTGCTTTACATTTTTCTTTATAGTGTGCATAGAAAGAAAAAAACAACGTCAAGTCAAATATAGTACTGAAAAGAAAATATACATACATGTTCATTCTATTATACGAAAGTTCAGTATTGGGTGTTTCCATTAAGAACCTACCACGTTATACAAAAAGGTAGGCGCCAGCTGTGAGATACAGATCACCAGATGCAGTTTTGGACGCTGAATCCAATGGTGAAAATCGCAAGTCTCTAGCGTTGTCGAAAAACAAGTTAGATGGAAAGTACTTTTTCAGCGTAAAAGAGGTTTTCCCAGCCAAAAAGGCCTCTATTGCAGATCCTTTTCGACCCCTTATCCATGAGCTAGAGAGTTCATTTTGGTCTCAAATGAAAGAACTCGACGAGATCTATCAAATTCCAACGAAAGAATTTATGGCCCATAGGCTTAAAGGATATCCGAAAAACCAGGTTTTCCAGAAAATCTTAGGACTTCAGACACCACGATATCCAATCCAAAGCAGTTCAATCAATAGCCCGTCAAATTCTGAATAAACTGAAGCGTTAAAACCGTTTTTACAACATACCTGTGTAAAACTGTGGGTAAAACACCAAGACAGGCTCGAAACTACAGATGAAAATTGAGATTGATACCACACGTTTGTATTCCATATGTTTGTATTCAATCAACAGCCCGTCGAATTCTGAATAAACTGAAGCGTTAAAAACGTTTTTAAAAAAATACCTGTGAAAAACTGTAGGAGAATACAAACGTGTGGTTTACGAGCTCGTAGGAATCTTAGCAAAATTAGGAAAGTGTTTTCGACTGGGATAGTAAAACGCACAGTAATACACAACAGTTTCCCTTATATTTTTATGATGATCCTCTGTATGACGAGTGTTATCCATCA